TCTTTTACCATTCTAGGCATACTCAACAATTATGAACAAAATTCAAGCCCTACTTACTAGTAGAACTACCTTGCATGTCAAACTACTTGAATCTTCCAATTTGTTACTAGCTCCAATCGAGTCACCATACCTGCGCGAATCATAGCAAGCAACAAGATCATAATTAGCTTCACCTGAGCTACTCGAAGATTTCCCAATATCATTACTCGAATCATTGCGAGTAACTCGATCACAATCGACTCTACCTGAATTACTACTTATCAAACCATAAGCTGCACATGTTTTCACAGTGACCGTTGAACATATAATCGAAACTTTCTCCGCCCCTTTAACACAACTTTGGCATTCTTGCTAACTTTTAGAACACCATCTCGACTAGTATACATGTACCATTTTGAATCAAAAGTATTCAATGAGATGATATTCATGTTTAATCTTGGAACATATCTTACTAAATCATTGCCCTTACAAATATCAACTATTTCATAAGGTATATTATTTTCTATCACTACGACACCCCTTGTAACTGCTTCACATGAAGAAAACCAATATCTGTTAGAAGACATATGAAAAGTGACAGCCGTATTGAGAATCCAATCCTCATCAAGTTTGGAGTCACTGTCAGTAATGACAAAAGATCTCCACTGTAGTCTTCTTTTGTAAGATTAGCATCACCAAAATTTTCCTAGTTGTCGCTTTTGATCTACAATAGTGAACCTGTTCCACCACTCATAGCAATCTTTCTTCACGTGCCCTTCTCGTTATAGTACCAAAAAACTTATATCACTATTGTTATCCTTAACTCTACCCCTTCTATGATCACCTGTCTTCCTCTCATAAATAACAAGACCATCTGCCAGGCCTTAGATCAGATTACTAGATGCTTCATCTTTTCCTTTGAATAAAATACATCATATACTTCGTTTATAGTGAGAGTATCTAAACTATAGAGGATAGTATATCTATTAGTCACATATGAAGTGGCAACAAACATAACAATATCAACCTTAAGTCCTCCTCATCGTCCTTGACTTTTATGGTCTGAAGATTTTCTTAGATACCAATAGATGATCTTCCAAAGATCTACATTTCCTCAAGCGATGAAAATACATGCGCTACTTTAAGTATAATTTACTGTTCAAGCTTTTTTGTCATATAAAGCTACTCCATTTCCAACCAAAACCCATGGTATTTTTCTCATTTACCGTGTCCTGAATAATTTGATTAGAAAGATGAAGATGTATCTGTGATATGGCTTTTCAATCCTTGCATTGCTTCTCATCCGCAATCATTGTTGTTGGCATTCTATTCACCCCCAACAAAGTATCATCCAAGTCCACTTGTGCAAGAATTGCTCACATTTTGATATGCCAAAAAGAAAATCCAATGTTGAGATCTAAAAATGGAATCTCAAATTTGTAGTTGGGAAATAATTCAACTTAATAAAATCTATCTTTAATAACCAATTTAGACCTCTCAAGAAAATCGCCAAAAAACTTTAGCTCAAATACCAATTGTTAGAAACAAACAAGATACCAGAATCACTCTGATACTACTTTATTAAGAATTGGGCCAAATAATAAAGACAAAAAAATAAGAGCATTATGAAAAATAATGGATCACACAAGAATACAAGATTTATGTGGAATAATAGGAGAATTTCATATACTAAGAAACTAAAATTTTGCTATAATATTTGATACTCTCAATCTAAATTTAAACAATTCTCTCAAGTTTGTATTGTATACAATAATGATCTAATTATTATTTTAACCTATGAAAAGCCTACACCGCGTAGAGTATATATAAGAGTCAAATCTTGGAGCTCCCACGAGCATGACGCAGTGGTAAAGCAGAAGGGTTCCAAACGTAGAATCGGAAATTCGAATCCCTGTGGCAGTTGGAAAGCAACATTTATGTTGAAAGGAAGTTGTCATGTAGAAGCAAAGTTATGGTGCACTTTGTTACCCCTCCGGGAGGCCTGTCCGGACGTCGTAAAGGGAGGTCTACAGGGAAGAGAACCGCATCCCGAATGTTCGGTTCAAGTGTGTATAAGCTGTATCCACATCCGAAATTACCTGGCTGGCGAACCAGGGGGAAGGCTGCCGCTTCTCAAGATTAGTCAGGCAAAACTTGGACACTTGAGTTATTAAAAAAAAAAGAGAGTCAAATCTTGGAGTTATGGATAAAGTAGAATACAAAAAACATGATCAAAATCAACTAGGAGCCTCTTTTCCCCCCATCCAGGTGGCATCGCGGAGACGCCATGGCGCCATAACCCAATGGCTAGGTGCCCTGTCTCAGTCTTAAATGCGTCTGAAACAATTTTTCAAGCACCTAAGCGTCAGTGCGCTGGGCGCTCTGTCTCGGTCCTAATGCGTACAAAACACTTTTTCATCCATTTCAAAGTCCTTTCTTCGATTACAAATCTCAGTCCATGATAAAATTTGATTCCTTATCAATTTGGACTTCCAAACCAAAATTATTTAGACTTCCTTCACGAATAAAATGTCCAAATCATACAGAATTTGAGTCACAACCTAACAACAATTTTAAAATAAATCAAATCCTCATAGAAAGGCTAAATCATAGCCGTCGAAACAATAGTTTTATTTAAATCGTGAAAATCCTTAAATTTTAGTAGACTGTTCGAAAAAAAAGGGAAAATAAAGAGAAAAATGGATGATGGATGAATCAACTTATTTGGAGTCTACAATTTTAGCTTTTCTTTTCATTTTCGATTTCAATTTGGCTCCTTGGTCTTTTGTTTTCTAAGTCTAAGAATGTCTAAAGCTCTCCCTTTTGTGTCAAACATTTAAGATATACACACTTTTAAGGTGTTAAAATAAACCCTACTAATGAGAATTGGTACCCAGATGCCCTTAGAAGTTGCAAAATAGAGAACTAAACTTGTATTTCAGTGTGATCGCTCGTACAAGCGCTTCCAGGCAAACTTGAAATTAATAGAACCAATAACTTCTTGTAGAAAAAATGCAAACTGATTTGTAAAATGTATTTGAATCCTGACTCGATAAACTTTTCACTGATATATTATATGCCTAGGAAAGTCCACGCCTTTCATATTGGCACTTTTTCATTGCACGCTTATCATAGCATAAGGTATATGGTTGCTTAAAAATTTTCAATTTTCGATTGGTTTTGTGATAAATCAGAAGAATGCAAATAATAATAATAATAATAATAATAATAAACAAAAGATTCATGTAAATATTGCTTTTGTGTATGGTTTATGGTTTATGGTTTATTAATCAATAAAGTTTTAGAGTAATGTTATGACTCAAAGTCAACAATTAACTTTAATCACATATTTCATTGGATCAACAACTTTTCAATTACATATTTCATTAACTTTTATCAAAATCTATTAAAATTTTGATTTTAATCCTCATGAAACAGGGGCATGATAATGTCATCTCATATAAATACTTTTTTAATTAGAGCATGTTTGAGTCTTATTTTTTGTCCAAAATGTCTTTTGAAATAGCATTTTGATGGAGAATGTGCATTTAAAAAATTGGATCTGTATGCAATATTATCTTATTGAAAATGTGTGATTAAAAATATAAGATATAAAAATGTATTTTGAAAATAATGTGGACAAAACAAGGACTTAATCTTATCATTTTACATTATATCACCCACCACATCACATATAAATAGATTCCTATTTTATATATATAGCATTATTCAAATTATTGTATTTTCGATTCACACTAAATCAACAAAAAATCTAGTTTTTAATTTGAGCAATATTATTTAGTCTCATTGATATTTAGCACGTATATATGTGGTCACTATTACGTTGTCCACTAAAAATAGAGTATTACTATTTTATACAAAATGGAGGATCATCTCCGTGTAACGATATATTGAATGATAAGGCTAATAAAGTAAGGTTCATACCCACACATATATCTAATTGATTTTATCGTTTCACAAATCGCAATCTACTTTGTACGTATAGCATTATTCATAAAATTATAATAGAAAAATAATTGTTATACATGACATCACCATTTACATAATCTCTTACATATTGATGAGGTGTCAAAAAATAAGTGGAAAATTCCTCCTTCTTCTTCTTCTTCTTTTTTTTAATGATTTGGTTGATGAGATATTTGCCCAATTAAATTTCGTCATATCATTCGTTAGTAAATTAATCTATAAACTGTAATGTACATGAAGCACTATCGTACATTTTACAGATAGAACATCATGATAGTGATTCTCATTTACACATACACGGATGCTAAGCATCCATAAAATTGAATACTGTATAGGATTACTCTTTCATTTATCACCATGCTTTTGGAATATCTCCATTTTCATCTTCAACCAAACGATAGAAACCAATTTACTGTTTTCCCATAGGATCTTGTTGCATGTAAATCAAGGGTTACATAATGAGTTACGTAATGTAACGTGATACTATCATTTATCAGTTTAAGATACAGTCAAATTTTCAACTAATTTTTTTCTTCCATATCATATTATGGTTGTGTTTGATTCTCATTTTCTCCAAAATACATTTTCTTTCTTTTCTTTTTAATCACACATTATTCATTAAAATAATATTACACATAAATAAAAAATGTTCACTTATTTTTCAACTACACATTTGCTCTATACAATTTACTATTCTAAAATGCATTTTTACATAAAAATGGAGCTCAAACACTCTCTATATAATTTTGTATGCATAATTTTAGCCCTTGTTTGAGCCTCCTTTTTTTGAAAAAATACATTCTGCAACAGTATTTTGACATCATTTCAATCATACATTATTCAATAAAATAATATTACACGAAAATCTAAAACTTTTCCTTATTTTTTACCCACACATTTCACATCATTACACTATTCAAAAATAAATTTTCTTGGCAAAAATGGGGCTCAAACAAGGCTTTAATGTACAAGTTGCAAAATCTCTTGCATAACTCTATAACCAAACACACGCTAAAACCTCCACCGCTGTACATGGTTCTACAACACCATATATACGTAATGTGCCCTGTTTCGCTCTGACCTATTCTCCTCCACCACCTCTGTTCCATTCCTTCTCTCTCTTCCTTTCTCTCTCTAAACACAAACTTACATTTACCTCCATACACACGCACACCTATTCTTCCAGGGTTTCCAGTTTTTATAGTAAAATTTCTTAAACTGACAAAGACAGCTGAAGGTGTTCATGTGGTGGTGCTTCTGATGGAGACGGCGCCCATAAAATCACAGCCATTGCACAACTTCTCTTTGCCCCAACTCAAATGGGCTCACAAGAGCTCCAACTCGCAACACCATCGCTTCCGCCGCCGCGATTTCCCCGACAACCGCTACCCTGATCCTGATTCCTGCTCCGAGAGCCGAGCCGTTAAGACTAGAGCAGAACAGCTTTCCACTATTCCGAAAAGTCCACCACAAAGTGGTGTCGTTTGTGCCGATGAGGAGGAGAATTGGGGGGGCAAGCCGTGGTATTTGCGGCCGAGGAAGGAGGTCAAGGCGGCGGTCAAGAAAGAAACAACAGTTGAAAATAGCAGAATCAATAGCACTGCTAGTGCTGTAAGGTCAAACAGGCTGAGGGGATGGGCGGAAGGAGGGCAGCAGAATGAAGGCGTGGGTATTGGCTTTGGTGTGGAAAGGAAGGAGAAGATGAGGATTTGGGTTTCGTTGTCAAGGGAGGAGATCGAAGAGGATGTTTACGCCTTAACTGGGTCGAAACCTGCTCGCAGACCCAAGAAGAGATCCAAAAACATTCAGAAACAACTCGATGTATGTCAAACCAGTTTTTTGTTTTCTTTTGCCTATGTCTTGTGGGATTTTTAATTTATGTGTTGTTTTGCAGGGTGTATTTCCTGGATTATATTTGGTGGGGCTTACAACTGATTCATACAGGGTTCATGATGCTTTTGTAAGGAATTTTTCCATTTGTGCATACGATTAATTTTTTTGTATATCCCGATTGTATGGGGCAAACTTGGATTTCTGTAGTAAATAATCGATTTCTTGTGGGTTGATTTCAGAATTTAACAATTTGGGATTTTATTTCTTGCAGAAGTAGATTGAAGAAGGTTGATGAAACCAGATTCTTGATCCTAAGGTACCCCTTCTCACCCTTCCTAATGTGCTTGTGTTAGCGCACAATTGTGCTTCTGCGCCTCCATGACACCGGACTAATCTGCCTGCACATATGTTTGAGTTTCTCAAGTTTCCTTTTGAGTGGTATATCTTTTGCTGATTCGTATGTAACCTGGACCTGTTTGATAACTTGATGTAGAGGTGGTTTTAATTCTGGGATGGAGGCTGGAAGAATCAGATGCTGTGCTCCAACACCTTGGTTGAGGTATATACTGAATTATGTAAACGATGGTTTGGGTATTTTTGCAATAGCTAGATAGCCGCTAGAATATTACTTTTTGTTTGCAGCTCATTTCAGGGAATCAAATAGAATTTTGGGTTTTAACATGTTATTATCTCTTACTGGTCGTGTTTAAGATGTAAACAATGAAAGTTAGCACAAATGAATAGAATTGGATGATGCAATTTCCTAGTTTTTACATTTCAGGGATTGAATTATCTCATTTAACGTTTTTTAAGATGTGAACAAGTGAATGTTTGCATGAATGAATAGAATTGGATTATCTTTGATATTATAAAATATCATCTTTTTGCTTCATTTTTTTGCTGGTATTGAGTTATCTCAATCATGTTTAACCCTTGTTTGAGCCGATTTTATCAAAAAATCATTTTCAACTACACATTTTTTAATAAAATAATTGTACACGTAAATTGAAATATATATTTTAACCACACAGTTTTTAGAAAACACTATTCCAAAATACAACCCCCCCCCCCCCCCCC